CGGAGAGGGTTTTAGAACCATCAGTGTAAAAATGAATACTGAGGAATGATTGGAGACAGACAAGGTTTGATTCGCTGGGCTCGCGGAATAACGCCAGCTACGTGCTATAAGAAAACGAGGACCATCATATAGCTTTGCGAATCAATACTTGACACAAGCAGGCCACTTATATGGAAGACCCGGGCGAAGCTGTCGTCTCATTTCACTCGTCGGAAGGACCAAAGCTGTAGCTTCCATGCGAGAGACACCTATGTCCTGGGAGCCGGCGGGAAAGCAAACACACACGACTCACCATTGAGCTCCTATTCCTTTGCCATTCATTTTAAGAATCAATTTGATATTTTGTTTTTGGGTCGTGGCTTTTAGGGAAAAAACGCTGTAGGACCGTTTATCGGAGCTTAATAAATATGACTTTTTGTCTATTCTTTCAAATGAACCATTCTTTTAAATGAAGATTCCTAAAGATCAATGGAAGGTTATGGATTGGAAAAATACAACACATGAATAACTTGCTTTTATGTAGAAATATAAAAATTTCCTAATGAAGCTTGGACATTTTATTATTTAACAAGAATATTCAATAAGTTTTCTACACTAAAGAATAAGATATTTTAAACAGAATACACGTCTTGAGAACTAAGTATACCGAATATAAGAGGTTTGATGAATATATATATGAAAGTTGGTTTTGAGAGCAGCCTCTAACCATAAATAGATAATACATCATAAATGAAGGACTACTTGAAATTTACCACGCCTACTCAGTCAGTCCCACATGGGTTTAACTGCACTTTTACACACAGGCTGACGCTCACACATACACTTTAAATTACACAGTCCTTTCTACTGTGTCGCATACACATGGGTTCCGATCCCTCATTCGGACAGTGGCAGCCTACCAACGTAGTTTTTTTTAAAGGTAAACTCTTGAATCGTGAGAGACCATAAGGTGCACTACAAAGGAAATAATTTAGGAGGACAGAAAAGCGGGAGATTGTATGATTTTGGTGGGTCAGGGAAAATAGAGGGAGCAAACACACGGGGTAAGTCATAAGCCATGAAGGATCAATGAGCGTGTATGTACAGGATGAGAGAGGCAATTTTCACCATTTCTTTTTGGCACTTTCAATATATCAATGCTTAATCAAAAATCATCATTATCGTCATCATTATTATCTATCAATTATCCATATTACTAATAAAACTGTGATCTTTTAGGCCGACAACAGCCGCAGTGCTGGTAAAGAGACTGCGATTCGCTTACACCATGGCAGCAGGAAGCGCCTGCTGGCAATCCCACCCGCCACGGTAAGCACCGAGTGTCGAGAACAAAATGAGACAGCCATAAAAAGCTGACACAGGCCGGGCGAAGCTAGAACTTCGCAAATCGCAATCGTCGATAGTAGATCTACAGGCTCTCTAGGTGAAATTGATGATGGTAATGGTGGTGGTGGTAGTGGTGCTCACGAAGATGGTGATGATAGTAATGGTGATGGTGATGATAGTAATGGTGGTGGTGATGGTAATGTGGCGATGATGGTGATTGATAATGATGATGATGATGATTGATAATAATAATGATGATTATTATATTTAATGATGATAGTATCAATAATTATAAAAAAATGAAAATAATAATAATGATACTAATAACAACATTAACATAAACATTAACAATAATAAAAATGGTAGCAGCAATGGATTTATTATTTTTTTTACAGCGCCTAAACCTGCACAATTTACTAGGCCAGATGCTCGATTCTATGAAGCCATTCACACAGTATCTAATGAGACGGTTAGCAGGCTCAATAGCTATAGTTTAAATCTAGCGAAGACCGGCAACAGCAAGTGAAAATAAAGGGAAAAATATCGGAAGACCTCAACACGCGAGGGTAAAAACTCCGACTAACCTGAAAAATCGAGGAAGAAATGCCTACACGAGGGACAAAACCGTCTTCCAGAGTTTATACGAAAGTGAATGAATAACTGATGAAATTTAGAAGGAAGAAATGTTGACTTGTGGTTTGGATTATGCATGTCGTTTATCGAGATGGGATATATATTTCATGCAAGTCTTTGGCATCATGTTAAATCGATGTAATTACAGTACGTACCTTGAACTGCTTGTCTGATAGTATTAACTCCAAAAGTTTTGTGAAAACTGTGTAGCACGCTTATTTTTTTTACCTTTATGTTCTTTTGTGTATTATCTTTACTTTTATTGTATATATAAAGAAATATTATATAATATTTTGAACCTAATCTACTGAATAGATAGACGGGAAGAACATTAATCATATAATTATATTAAAATATATTGTCAACACAGCGTGGGATTTAAAAAAATATATGAAAGTCCAAGCTTTAAAGTTCGAAACATGTAATACTTCGAAGACTTTATCGTTTAAAAAAATAAACACCTTGCTTATTTCATAACATCAGTCAGTATCAATACCATTTCTTTAATCACTCATTCATTGTTGCTTTTTGTTGCCTACCTTCCGAAATTCCCTATACATGTTTCTCAAACTCCTTAGTTAGGATAGCATCAATGTTAGAAATCTTCGCACATTTGGACTGCAAGCCCTTCTTACTAACTTCTGCGAGGTCCTCCTGGAGTGAGGTTAAGAGACCACGCAGTGAATCTCCTAGTTGATGTCGCTCCCATGCATCGAACACCGCCTGTGTATATATGAAAGAATACATGTAATTAAACAAACACCGAAATATTGGTTTGCTGGTTAGTGGTTAAAGAGCGAGACTGATTAGTGTGTCAGTTCTGGTTTGCAGCTTTGAATTGGGATTGCAGTAAATTCGGAAAACGCTCTTATAAAATAGACTTCTAACCTACGATTATCCGTACGCAAAGAATAAAAAATAAACAACAGAATAGAAGATGTAGTCACATATGGTACAATACAATCCCACCCCATGCTGAGAATCACCCTCACCTACTAATTTTGCACGGTATTTTTTCCTCCCCCCTTTCGTTTCCCTCCCTTCTACTATCTATTTCCTAAGCTGTAAGAACCATGTTGAAACAATGAAAGGCTGATTTTGTGCCAGCCATGAGCAGCCTGGGGAAGCCATGGGCACGGTATTCTCCTGTTTAGTTGTCTAGCCCTTACCCCTCCAGGAGGACCCTGAGGGATGGACTGTTTCTCTCCCCAACATACTCTAGACTTACCATAGCCAGTAATGAAGACTTTATACCATTATTAGGGGCAATATGGTTTGTCCCTTCATCAAATAGCCCCACTGATTCAAATTCTCTTGGTTCTTCGACTCCAGGCTCCCCTTAACCACGACTCTGAACACTGTCCATGGAATACTATCCCCCCCTTAATCCCTGTTGTCACATCATCCACCCAGGTCACTCCTAAACCCCCAGGAGACATCCCTCCTTTCCCAACATCCTCTTCTTCAACTCCACTCCCACAACTTTCTACATCAACTACCCCATCCTACCCCATTAACTGTCCACCTCTCCACAGTACTGCCTCTCTCAACACTATTCCCTCTTCCACATGCCCCCGTCCTTCTACTACTCCCGATCGTTCCCGTCTCGTCACAATTACATCCGAAGCCCAAGCTAAAGCATTATCAACCCTGACAGACTTCACTGGTAAACCCATCCCTGCCTAACCTCATCCCTCCCTCAATATTTGTACCGAAACTATCTCTATCTCCCCAACAAACTTCCCTGTCTACAAAAAAAATGGTCAGATTATGGAGGACTTACTCGCCTGCCTCATGAACTATGTTACAGTATCAGTACAATGCTACACCATCTCCCCTAGAGACCGTCGTAAGTCCCCCACCAATACTGCCAAGATTACCTTCCGTAGACATGACCTCCCCTTTAATGTTTACATTGGCAGATAATCACTTCCTGTCCTACCATATCAACCTCCCCCCTGTCGGTGTCAGAATTATTGGCGTCTAGACCATCCTGTCACACACGACCGTTCTATGTGCTCAACCTGGTCATAATCAATCAAAGTGCTCTGCATAGTCACGCACATGTGCCAATTGTGGCGGCTCCCATAATGTATTTAAAAGGGGCTGCTCTATCTACAAGTTTGAGTCTGAAGTGGCAACTCTCAGATTCAGACTTGCCCCTCCCCTTTCCTCCCAAGATGTTTCTACATCTCCCCCAGCATCTCTTCCTCATCCCACTTCTACCCCCTCGCTCTCCCAGTCAAATTCTTTTGCCATTCTAAATCCAGATATCGCATTCTCTTCCACTATTTCAGACACTTCAGTCACTACTTCCCCAGTACCCAAACCTCTGCCTCCTCACCCAATTCATCGCACAAGACAAGCTTAACGCTCCATCCCATCTTCTACCCCATCCTCTCCACCAACCTCTCCCTCCACGTCTCCCTCCCTTAAGAAAACCTTTGTTTCTCAGACTTCTCCAACCGACTTGACAGCAGAAACTCTCGAAAACATTCCAAACTATCTAATCATGACCCAAGTTAACATACACCATCCTCCAATGTCTTTACTCCCATTCCTTCTACACTCAAAGTAACTGCTGACACCCATCCGCCTCCTACTCATGTCCCACCCCCTACACCCTTTCCTCCCACTCCCTCCCAACACATCTCGCCCCCCCCCCTGCTTCAACCGCATTATTCACCCTCCTAACCCACTATCCCTCCCGCTTCCCCCTGGGTGTAATCCTTTGTCCTTTGCCTCCTCTCCTGGATCCTAACCCTCCTGACATTCTTACTGAATTTGTGATCTCATTGCCTTTATATCCCTTTCTCCTTTACTAATCCCTACCTTACTCTATGACATCTTTGCAAACTCCCATACATCTTCCTTGTCAGCTTTGTTCAACTCGCCCTTGCTAATCCCTACCTTCCTGAACTGCTATACGACTTCTGACGTGTAGCACATATAATCTTTAATTAACCCTCTATTTACCTTTTTCTATGGTGCTATACGACCTTTGATGTTTAGCACATGTATTTTGTTGTGTAATCATTAACCAATACAGTGCAATAATAAACTTCTTACCTGTAATTTCCTTTCCGCACCGCTGACGAAAGCAAGGGCGTTGCCATGCAGAATGGACACGCCGTTGGTGCTTGCCTGAGGGCACATGTTACTCCCCTGAGAACACTGCCATACGCGGTAGTTCCACTCGCACCCCAGTTCATAAAGCTTCTGCGGATGCTGTAATGAGAAATAATGTGTGATAATGCAATATGGAAATAGACCTGTTTCCTGTACTGATAGGTGATATAAAACATAACTCTTGCAAAAGAGAAAAGAGAAGAGAAGTAAGAGAAAGACGGATGACATTTTATCAGCCCCTCTTTTCCTCCCTCCTACAACGTCCAATACTCCTACCTTATGAAACAGGATGTTCAGCATGTCTTGATCAGCCAATTTGATCCTTTGTCTGAAATTGTCAAAGACCTTCATGACAGCCGGCGTCCAGCCACCTCCCGGGAAGCTCTTCATGCGCGTTAGGTTCATGTGCATGATACCTGCGTTGAGGCCCGACGACCCGTAAAAGGGGATCTGCGAGAGTATTTGCGATGATAAATAATAGACAATTTTGTATCCTTCTCATTCGTCTTACTCCTTATCAGTGTTTGCCATACTAGCTCGTAAATTCCATATCATTATGTCATAACTACCTTCAGATTATGGACGCGCAAATCTCTCTCTACCTGTTCTCTTTGTTTGTCTTTTATTAACCTAACACTAACTGGGTGACTGTCTATCTGTCTCTCTATTGTCTATTTCTTAGTATCTGCCATGGTATCTCTCACTAAACTTCTAAATCTGCACCAAACGCTGTTTTCACCTTGTTCCTTGTCGAGCCATAGTGATAGAGACAAGGTGCCATCGCAGCCACTTGCCTATCGTTGAACTTTCGGAATTCGGCCCACAGGTCCTCCGGCGGACGAAGGAACACGAGGTCGGTGTCGATGTAAATGGCCGCGTCCAGGTCGGGGAACATGTCCGGCAGGAAGAGCCTCTCCGTGGCGCACACCCGGAACATGTTGCGCATATCCTCCCGTCCCGGAGGGTACCACACGTTGTAGTACTCGAAGGAGAGGCGCTGTTGGTACTCGATAGGCCAGTTCGACGTCGTATTCACCAGCCGCTGGTATAAAGACTTTGAATCTGCAATCACCAGGAACCTGCCGAGATGAAGCGGGAGATGAATAATGAAATGGAGGGAATGTAATGTTGTTAAGGGAAGGGAAGAGGAGGAAAAATCGAAACGGAAATTATCTAAAATATACAATTCTTTTTAGATCTGTCTTCATTTCATAAGAACAAGTAGATGCGCAAGGCAAGATGAATGACTTGATACGTCGATCTCAAAATATCGTCTGATATACATGTACTGGAATCATTAATTCTCACTCACACCTTTTTCAGCGTCTGTCACAAAGAACCTACGCATCTGCCTATCCAAGAAAACTTCCCCCCCCCAATCCCTTGCCCGTTGTTGTCGTGGGGGGGCTTAGGAGGCGGAGACTGGGACCCAATGATGGGGAACTCCCCAACCTTGGGACTCAGCCCTCGACTCAACTAATTATGCATGGTCTTTTTTTCCCTTCCCACTTTTGTTTCTGTCCCTTCACCAAACCCTTCTGCTATCCACCTCCTAAGGTGTGAGAGCCGTGCTGAAAGGATGAAAGGCTGACTTTGTGCCAGTCCTGAACGGCCTGAGGGAGCCATGGGCACGGTACTCCCCTGATTTAGTTATCTAGCCCTTACCCCTCAAGGGGACCCTGAGGGGTGGACTGCTTTTATCCCCAACATAATCCAGGCTTCCCATGGCCAGTAATGAAAATATATCCCCACTGTTAGGGGCAATGAGGCTTGCCCCTTTATCAAATAGCCCCAACGAAGTAAACCCACCCGATTCCCCGACCCCAGGCTCTCCTTTGACCACGGCTCCAAACACTGCAATAACTACCCCTTAACCAATGCCTACTAGTACAGTAGCCAACAATCAACCCTCAAGGGACATTTCCACTCTCCCAGCATGCCCAACTTCAACACCTCTACCCCCACAACCTCCAACATCAACCACCCCATCCTCCCTTATTAATACCTTACAGCCTTATAGCCCACCTCTCCATAACACTACCTCCATCAACACAACTCCATCTTCGTCACGCCCTCGCCCTTCTACCACCCCTATCTCTAAAACAATCTTGAATACTCTCTTCAGTGCAGCCAAATGGGACCGACTTTTCGTGATCCCTCCCACAGCTCCCTACTCTAACAACACCCTTCTCTTCCAACAATGCCTCCAAAAACAAGTAGGTAAAGTCTCTTTCCGTAGCCGACCCGACCGCTCCCGTCTTGTAACAGTAACATCCGAAAACCAAGCCATAGCACTAACAAAACTAACTGACCTATATGGTAACCCCATCCTAGCAGAACCCCATCCAACCCTCAATACTTGCACCGGAACAGTCTCAATCTCACCAACAAATTGCCCAATCTATGACAAAGAATGGTCAGATTGTGGAGAAGATCTACTTGCCTGTCTCACAGACTACGATGCAACATCAGTACAATGCTATTCCATCCCCCCCAGAGGTCATCGAAAGAAACCCACTAACATAGCCAAAATTACCTTCCGTAGACATGACCTTCCCTTTAACGTCTACATAGGAGGAGAATCCCTCCCTGTTCGTCCATACCAACCTCCTCCACGTCAGTGCCAAAATTGTTGGCGTCTAGGACACCCAGCCAAACACTGCCGTTCCACAGCCAGATGCCCATTATGTGCCCAACCTGGCCATACCCGATCTAACTGCTCTGCACAATCACGCACATGTGCCAACTGTGGCGGCCCCCATAATGTATTTTATAGGGGCTGTCCCACCTACAAATTTGAATCTGAGGTAGCAACTCTCAGATTCAAACTCGGACTCACACTGCGTGAAGCCAGACAGGAAGCACGTCGACGTGGATTCTCTCTTACTCCTTACTCCAGTAATACTGCTCATCCTAACACTTCTCCTAAACCCACCCCTCCTACATCTAACCCCCCCACTAACCCCACCTACCTTCCCCAGTCAAACTCTTTTGCCATCCTAAATCCAGAAACTCCAATCTCTACTACAGATACTCCAATCACCACTACAACCCCAACACCTTCCCCTCTCCCTCCTCGCACTCCCCGTAACAGACAGAACAAACGTTCCACCCCCTCTTCCCCTACCACACAATCACCCCCACCATCCTTTGCCCGTACTCTTGAGACACCAGTCCTCTCTTCCCCCCTCACAAGAAATCCTTTATCCCCCAAAACTCCCCAACCAACTCCACAGAAGAAACTATTGAAAATATTCAAGATTACTTAATGAAAACCGACACTCAACCTACAACTCCTGCTCCTTCCACACTCCAAGTAATTGCTGATATCCATCCTCCTCCTAACGATATCCCCCCTACACCCTACCCTCCTACCCCCTCCCAACACAGCCCATCCCCCCTGACCCTGCCCACATTAACTCTCCCACCATCCCCTCTATCCCTTCCACTCCCTCCTGGATACACACGTGAATCCCTTATGTCACAAGTATCCCCTTCCTCAGACCCTCCATCTCCTACTACCCCTCCTGATAGAACACCAACTCCCACACCTTTCCCATCTCAAACCTCTCAGTCCTTATCCCACCCTCTAGCTGCTTCCCCTTCAAATTCTCCAACACGTACTACAATCTATATCACTAAATCAACGAAAGTATAACTATCCTTCATTGGAATATTCGCGGTTTCCGCTCCCACAGACCTGGCCATCATATCCTTTCCTCTTATAACCCATCTATTGTATGCCTTCAAGAAACCTTTCTTATGCATACCCTTTATCTAATATAACACCTGACCTTAACCCTTTCACTCACTAATTCCTTTGCCCAGCTTAGACAACTAATCACTAACTCAACCACCCTTCACTAACATTAACTATAGTGCTACATGACCTTAGATGTCTAGCACATTTATCTTGCTTTTAACCATTAACCATTAACCAAGAAAACTTACCTGAGAAAGGTTGAGGTCAAAGCGGCCGCTGACTTCAGCATTACAGCGGCCTGACGAATCTGACGACCGATATCAGATGCCTTATTTCCCCCCTGGTTGGCTGTTGGTGTACCTGACACAGGATTAAATCTATTATTGATGACTGTGACAACGACGCAACTTCTTTAACATTTCAGGTACATCTATCAGTCAATTTATCTACATCTGACTGTCCAGGGTATTAGAAAGTTGAAACTTTCCTTCAAGCAAACTAAATAAACATTTCCCAGACTATTTTAAAAAGACCCCCCCCCCCAAAAAAAAAAAAAAAAAAAAAAAAAAACAAGCAAAATCATATCGCTATTAATTAAAATGCATGATCAAAATAACAAAAACTTAGTTATTTGCATTCTTATTACTTCATTGCTGAATATCGCTACTATTTTCTTTAATGTAATATTTTTTCTTCCTGAGAACAATACCTGCAAGTTGGCATGGTTTCCGATCCCTTCTCCCCCGAGTGTCTTTCTGTATATCTATATATTTTTATCTGTCCACTCTTATGGCAATTGAATAACAATATGACAATATATTCTTTCTAGCATCGCAGGAAGACAGTAACGATATATTATACGGCAACAGATGCAGTGTAAATCCTTCCACACCTTCACATTGAATGAGGAAGAAGACCAATTCTTTTCTGGCTGTCTGCGTCTCCCCATTCTGACCTGGAAGTATGGAAAGAAAAATATAATTTCAGAATATCCAGCAACTTCTTGTAACGGGGTGTAAGAAAGAATTCAAATGTTATACAGTAGAATGAAATATATCTTTAAAATTACAATATTCATTTTCGAAATGCTTGAAAGAAAAAGTGCGGACTGGGAGAGGGAAAATTGCAGAATGAGAAATATAAAGTTGGACAAACAGGGAAAAAGAGAAACTGAGGTATTGATTAATTGATCGATTGATCACAAAACAC